CCCATCGCTCAGCAGGACCTGGAAGGAAGAGAACTGAGCTGGTCCCTACACCAGGTGACAGCTGAGGTGTGTTCTTTATCAGGGAGGCCATTCCCTGTTGGTTTGTGACTGTCAGGATGGGGTGGGGACACCTTTGGCTGGCCTTGGCCAAGCCCCAACCCTCCCACCCCCAGCCCTGAAAAAATCACTGAGACGCATGGCTGGAACAGCCTGATCTGCTGATTCCCTCCTTCCCCAACTTAGTCTCCCAGAGAACTCCCTCCCTCCCAGGGCTCCTCAGGTCTCTAAGTCCCTAAGTCACCACTGTGCCTGCCTCCTCCATGGAAGGGGGCATCTTTGGCCCCCTTTACTGAGGTAAGTGGGCAAGGCAGAGGGGCACCTTTGGTGTTGGGAATCCACACCCAGTGCCTCCACTGTGGACCCCTCGTGTTGTATACCCCCTTACACTTATCTCTGCAAAGTCCCCCCTCTCCTTGCTGTTGGGCTTAGGCTTTTTGCCCCTCCCCACACTCAACGACTCACATATGACCATTCCCCCAGTAACTGTGCAAGAAAATAAGACACCTCTCCCACAGATATACACACACACCATTAGCAGCACACATCATTATTATACTCACATGTTCCCACAGTGGCCGAGGGCTCCCTCACCCCATCACATGTGCCCATTACAGAGGGACAGCTGTGAAGACACCTGCCTTCATCCTGTTACAGAAAACACACTCACTTGCATTTGCACTGACACACGCATCCCGGCACAGACAAATTCGCTTTTGCTTGCGGTTGTATCCTAGTAGCCCAACACTGATGATACATAACGAAGGCTTGATAAGTATTTGCTGGGTAAATTTAAAAAACACTCCTAAAAGACACGCGCAGTCTATCTGCCCAGTTACTCTCACTGTCTCGCACACTTTCACACCTGGCTTTCCCCCTGTGGGTGCAGTCCCACAAACACAAAGTAATTAAGTTATCACACACCCCCCTAAGCTAAAGAACAACCCCTGGCCCAGGGGTCTTTCCCAGAGGGGGAGGCAACTGAGTGGGATCCAATGGGGCTTTCCCCTGGGACTAGGCCCTCCCTTTCCTCCTCCCCGGACCCTGGCCTCAGCCCCAGCTGCTCCTCTTTTAATTGGAGGCACTTCTTTATTCTGCAGGCGAGAGGGGTGATGGCACTTGGGGATGTTACCAGGTGGCCTCAGGGCTGGAACTCACCTAGATGCATACCAGATACTCCTGTAAGGCAAGGACCACATCTGCCAGTTTGGTATTGAAGAAACAGCTCGTAATGAATGGATTCAGAAAAGCAGCATTTGAGTGCAGTCTCTGTCCCTGTCTGGGGTTCTGTGCCTTGTTTTTCTCATCTGTGAAATGGAGACAACCAAAGCTGCAGCACTGGATAGCGGGCGGGTGAGGGGAGATAGTTACTGTGACTGGGGTGTCCGGGACTTCACTGGCGCTTCTTGAATGCTGCTTGCTTTCCCTCCCCTTCGCTCTCCTGACAGGGCTACCGTGAAGGCAGGCCAGCGCCAGGGAAACACAGAAACTGCACCAGAGCTCCATGCAGTGTCCCCTCCTTCTCAGAGTTCGGGCAGGCAGGCGGCTGTGAGGGTAGGGGGAAGGCGGAGTGTTTCTGGGTTGCTGGATTTTGATGAGAAGAGAATCCTGACCGTCTTAGTGGGCCAACTAGGCATCTGTGACCTCTGTCAACTTCAGGCTGGGCTAGCAAGTGCGGGGCTTCCCCCAGGTACTGCGGAGGACTGGAACCAGATCTGGGGAGTCCAAGAGGTGAGTGAGGCAGACGCAAAAGGGCTAGATCAGGCAGAGATGATAAGCCCTACGGACTGGAAAGGGGCATCTGGAGGGGGGATGAAGAAGGAAGGGGGACAGTGCTGGGAATACTCAAGACATTCCCTCCATGGGACAGAGAGTGGCAAAGAGAGTTATTCTTAGGATAACCCGTAAAGACAGGGTTTTAACTGAAGCTTGCATAACTGTGCTTAGACACAAATGTGACTTGTTAACCAAAAAAGGAGCAGAGTCATTGGTACCCAACCTCAAAGGAAGCTAAAGAGCTCCTCCCCGGAGTTTTCCGCTTCATAAGAAAAATAGCCCAGATTTGGGGATCCCGGATCAATCCTCTTCTGCCTGTGAGACTCTGGGCAAGTATGTTCAGAGTCTCCATTTTGGGTTTTCTCCTTGTTTCAGATGAGGTTCAACTAATGTACCATAAATTCAGCCCTTTAATTCAGCAGTTGTTAATATATTCACAAGGCGTATAACCATCACCTCTACCTTATTCCAGAATGTTTTTGTTACTTTAAATAGAGACTTTGCATCCATTTGCAGTCATTTTCCACTTCCCCATCTCCCCAACTCTGGTCAACCACCACCATACCTTCTGCCTCTGTAGATTCTCCTATTCGATCGTCCATATTAATAGAATCATACTGTGTTTGACCTTTTGTGCCTGGCTTCATTTACTTAGCAGAATGTTTTCTAGCTTCTTGCATGTTGTAGTATGAACCAGGACTTCTTCCCTCCAGGACTTCTTTATGGCTAAATATTATTCCACTGTATGGATATACCATGTTTTAATTTTCCATTTAGCAGATGAAGAACATTTAAATTGTTTCCACCTTTTGGCCATTATGAATAATACTGCCATGAATATTCATTCCATTTTCTTAATTATTAAAAAAATGATGATGCTTCTATGGAGTTGTCAGAAAAGTTGTGACATGTTTTTTCTATGTTTTTTTAAAGATTATTTATTTATGCATATAAGAACTGGGGTACAGGCCAGAGGTGGGGGGGGCGAGAGGATTCACCAGAGCCAGAGTGGGGAGCAGAACCTTTGGATCAGCTGAAATACACTGCTGAGGGGAGCAGCAGCAGGAGAGTCAGGAGAGGTCTGCTGCGCCATGTGGGTAGCTCCCTGGCTGGGGATCGGACTCATACTGCGGATTGCTTCATAGTGCTCATGCTTAAACCCTTGGGCCACCAGGGAGGCCCCTTCTATATTTTCTATGCAAAAATGTGTCATGACTTTTCTGGCACCCCAACATTGATTTCACAGTGTTGTTGTGAGTTTTAAATGAGATCATTGTGGTGTGGTGTCTGACACATAGTTTCTCAGTAAAATATAAAACATTTATGTTTATCTCTGCTTTAGTTCCCTTAAGATATGAGGAGGAAAGAGATGCATTCAGGACCAAACAACTTCCAAAGACAGATACCACGCGTAGGCAGAGGTATAGTACCTGGCTGGGTGGGTGGGGTGGAGAGAACTAGCCAGGGAGTGGAGCTCTTTCACGTGTCTGCTTAATGTTGGCAAATATCACCAACTTCACATCTGGCTTTGTCTTGAGTGGACCATTGTCCATCAGCCTGGAGCTCATACAGGGTTTTCCCTGTTTCTATGAGTTTCCCCCCATAGAAATGCACTTCCAACCCATAGCCAGGTTTCCAGGCTAACCCATAAAAGAAGCTGAATCCAGCTTCTCCATCATGATCGAGTCACTTAGCCTCTCTAAATTTTGGTTTCTTTGCATCTATAAAACAGGAATAATGCTCATCTCAAGTTATGGTAGAGTTAATTTTGTCCTTCACAACACTCATTAATTACCATTGGATTAATTATATTTGCCTGTTTATTTTCTAACTCCCTCTATAGAATGTAAGCTTCATGAGGGCAGGAGCTTTTTTTGGTAAAAGGTGAAAGATTCATGTGATCTGAAGAGAAAACAGTTAGGAGCTTTGTTTTGCTCACTGCTGTTTTTCCAATGACAAGAACAGTGTCTGATACATTGCAGATACTCAACAAATGCCTATTGAATAAGAACGTGCATTCATTCATTAGCCACCCAAGGGGACTATTTTTTGTGGGTTTGGGGCTACATTCCACAGTGGGGACAGAGATAAGTCATTCCCTGCCTCCAAGAAGATCTCTTCAAGTGGAGATAACAAACATGACCAATGCAAGTAGACTGTCATGAAACCTGATAAGTAGAATGTGAGTCACATTCTAGCATCTTGCCTGATAGAGACAGCCCTTCCCTAAAGGCCTGTTGAATCTGAAATAGACCAAGAATAGATCCCAAGTGATCTACCCTGAACCTTTCCCAGAGCATGGCTCCTGGGAGGGGGCAGACCCTTCCTTACTGAAGAGGGAAAGAGAGGAAGCAGGAAAAGGGAGTTTCCTCCCTCTCTCCTGGCTCTAAACCAGCCACTGGCAAAACTTTGAAAAGTTTGTCCTTTGAAAAGTAACTTCCCTGCTCTGGGTCCTACACCCCCACCCCTACTGTCTTAAGCCCCTAGGCCTCCCTCCCAAGATTCCAAAAGTTAGAAAATAACTCCTCTCCCTCCCCACAGCCCAAAGGTTTCTTGCTGGAAATAGCCATCTCTGGACTGGTTGCTACACAGAAAGTGATCTGAATGAATTGATTCACATCTTGTGGGATGTTTTTCTTGAGGCTTGTGTTTATTTAAAAGGAAAGGGCCACCTTGAGGCATGGGTGCCCTGGCAGCAGCCCCCAAGCCAACTCCTTCCACTTTCAGAAAGTCTTCCTAACCTCAGTTTCTCTAAAAAGCCTGAGTTGGATGGTTGTTAATTTTTTTCACTAACATTTAGCCAAAACATAGGCCCATTTTAAAAAGAAGGACAAGCCTGAACTCACCTTCCTGCCTCAGGGGCCTGGGCTCCATACCTGGGGAGTAGGCAGCCTTCTACTTCCGAACAAGCCAGACTTGAAGTTTGGAGTAAATCCTCTGGTTGACGGACAGGTGTTTCCCAGCAGAGCCCTTGGGGGAGATTCTCCAAAGGCCAAGGACACCCCTTCCCCGCAGGCCTGGAGGGCTGGACTCTGTTGGCCCAATTCAAAATGAGGGGCGGCTCCTGCCAGGCTGCAGGAGGGCTCTGACCTCCCCCTCCTTGGGTCCGTCTGTCCTTCTCTGGGAATAGCCGCCTCCTGTTTTTTTTTTTGTTTGTTTGTTTTTGTTTTTCCTTTTTCCTTTTACATCTCTCTTTCTCTTCCTGAACAACTACTCTGAGCCTCGGCCTCCGTCCCTCTGTCTCTGGCTCCTGCATCTGTCTGGGCTCCGGGCCTCCCTCTCCCCCTCGCTGCCCCTCCCCTGCGCTGTCATTCACCCCGCTCTTCTCAGCGCGCAGCCAATGGAGAGACCCGGCCGGAACGCCGAGGCTCGCTTGCACCGGGCTTTTTCGCCCGGTGATTGATGTCCCAGAGTCAACAGCGAGCGAGCGAGCAGCCGGAGAAGGGAAGGAGCAGCCGGAGAAGAGAAGAATACGGCGCCCCCTCTTCTCCCCCCTACTTTAGCCCTTCTGCGCACTTCGCCTCCAAGTCTCGGCGCAGCCAGGAGCCGCAGCCGCCTCCGCGCCCCTGCGCGCTGCCCCCGAGCCAAGCACAGAGCGCGCCGCCGCCCGGGCCCCCCCCGCGGGGCCGGGGCCAGCATGGAGCACCTGGGGCCGCACCACCTCCACCCGGGCCACGCGGAGCCCATCAGCTTCGGAATCGACCAGATCCTCAACAGCCCGGACCAGGGCGGCTGCATGGGGCCGGCCTCGCGCCTCCAGGACGGAGAATACGGCCTCGGCTGTTTGGTTGGAGGCGCCTATGCTTACAGCGGCGCGGGCCCCGCGGCCGGGCCGGGGGCCGGGGGCGCAGGGGCCTATGGCACCGGCGGCCCGGGCGGCCCGGGCGGCCCGGCGGGCGGCGGCGGAGCCTGCAGCATGGGCCCGCTGGCCGGCTCCTACAACGTGAACATGGCCTTGGCGGGCGGGCCGGGTCCCGGCGGCGGCGGCGGGGGTCCCGGCGGCGGCGGGGGGGCGCTGAGCGCCGCGGGGGTGATCCGGGTGCCGGCGCACAGGCCGCTCGCAGGAGCGGTGGCCCACCCGCAGCCTCTGGCTACCGGCTTGCCCACGGTGCCCTCTGTGCCTGCCGTGCCGGGCGTCAACAACCTCACCGGCCTCACCTTCCCCTGGATGGAGAGTAACCGCAGATACACAAAGGACAGGTTCACAGGTGAGTCCGGCCCGCGCGCGCCCCGGCTGGCCGCGGCCCGGGCTCTGCGCTCCCCTGCCCTGCCCTGCGGCTCCCGCAAGCAGCCCCTCTGCGCGCCAGGCGGCCCGCGAGGTCAGCGGCCCCGCACCTCTCCGCGTTCCCGGAATCGCCATGCTCGAGCAGCCCCAGCCCGGGCCCCGCTCCGGCTCCTCCGCAGGACTCCGGTTCTGAGAGGCGCTCCTCGCTCGCTCCTCGCTCCCCTCTCCCCAGGCCCAGTGAGCTGGAGGGGAGCGGGGTGTCGTTTGGGGGCAGCCTTCTTCGGCTGGGCTTCGGAGGCTCGGGAATCGCGGGGAACCGGGCGCGGTGTGCACAAACTGTTTCTTCCGCCGGGCCGAGGGGGCGAGCCCTGGAGTCAGACGCCAGGAAAGGTCAGGTCCCCACCTCCCCTCCCCGCACACGCCGCGCGCCGCCACAGCCGCCACTGCCTTCCCGCTCGGCGCGCGGAGCGCCCGTGGCCCTCGCGCCGCCCGGCCCTGCAGGGACCCCGAGCGCGGCGCAGGCAGCGGGGCCGGCGGGCCCTTCCTCCGGGCGGCGGGCTCCGTCTGGGTCGGCGGCCGCGTGAGGCTAAGCGGCTTCTGCATTTTCGCTCTGTCCCAAACGGCGTCCTCCCCGCGCCCCCGCCCAGCCCTGTTCCCGCCGGGTGAATAATGCACGGGCCGCGCCAGCGATCGATCCGCGGCCGAGGACAACTCCTGGGACAATTACGCATTCGGCGGCGGCGGACTGCCGCGCTCGCTGCCCGCCCGCTCCGCTCCTCGCTCCGCTCGCCCGGCCCCTCCGCTCCCGCTTCCGCCGGGGGAACTCGGCTCTAACTCGGGCGCGGGGCCCCGTCCGTCCCCGCCCCACGTCCCGGTGCCCTGAGTGTCCCCGACCTGAGGCTGCGGTCTTCCCGCCGCCGGGTCAGCCCCAGGCCCCCTGGAAACCCGGCACGAATTTAACTTGAGCCCGCAGCCCGGGTTCAGGGAACAGAGGCGGGAGGCACAGGCCGCGCCGGACCGAGCGTGGGACTCTCATGGGGCTCGGGCTCCAGGGCCTAGCAAGGAAGGGGGTTAGCCAGATCCCAAGCTAGGCGACCCCAAGACACCACAGTGCCCCCTACCCCCGTTCCAGTTTTGCTGGCCCCGTCTCTGGGGCTGTGGCATGAGTTGAGGGGGCAGGGAGAGAAGGAGGCAGAGGCCGGTCATTCCCAAGGCCTCCAGGAAGGAGGCACTCAAGGGGCCCCTGTGCCCCAACCCAAGTCTGAGGCCTGGAAGGCAAGGCCTGTGCCCAACTCACTCACACCTCACCCAGGCCAGGCCAGTTTTGAAGGGCTCTGATGGAGCCCCCAGCCTGGAGCCGGCTGGTCCTGGGTCTGTGATCAAAGTTCCTTCAGGTAGGGCCTATCTAAGCCGGCCACGAGTCCCCACCCCCAATCCTGCTTCAGGCTTAAAGAAGATTCTGAGGGAATGTATGGCTGTCACCTCGTGTCACCACTTGTGGCCCTGTGTCCTGTGTGTGCCTGCCTCTGTACCTGTGCCTCTGTTTGTGTACATCAGCCTGCTTTGTTGGGACGTATAAATCTACACTTTGCCCCACTCATGTGGGACGCGTCTGTGTATGTTGCTGCGTGATGGAGGCTTAGAGGTCAGGACCCAGAGTCGGGGGGGTGGGAGGGCCTTGAGCAAGATGGCCTCTTACTCTCTGTCCCCTTCTTTTGAGGCCGGTGGCCTGGGACTTAGGGGGTGGGGAGGAGCTGTGATCTCTAAGCTCCCCTCAAGCATGCCGCTTCAGGAGGCCTGGGAGGCCATAAGGCTGTGTCTGGTTGGGCATGTGGGAGCCTGGGGCTAGGGAGGCCTCTGTGGTAGTAGCGGTGGCGGCGCGGCGTCGGCCTGGCGGGCAGGAGGGGGCCATTTTCCGCCGCGGGCTTGGCGCTGAGGGCTGCCGGCAGGACCGCGGCCCTGCTCCTGGGGTCTAGCCGCTGCGCTCGCAGACTCGCGGGGCATCGGGCCTGGGACGCCTCCTGACGCTCTGCTGCTTGCCTCTGCCGTCTGTCTGTCTCCCGCTCCAGTGGCCCTCTCACCCTTCACTGTAACACGCCGTATAGGTCACCCCTATCAGAACCGGACGCCCCCCAAGAAGAAGAAGCCGCGCACGTCTTTCACGCGCCTGCAGATCTGCGAGCTGGAGAAGCGCTTCCACCGCCAGAAGTACCTGGCCTCGGCCGAGCGCGCCGCCCTGGCCAAGGCACTCAAAATGACCGACGCGCAGGTCAAAACCTGGTTCCAGAACCGGCGGACTAAGTGGAGGTGAGCGCGCGGGGCGGGCGCGGCCGCGGTTAGTGCAGGCTCGGGCCGCTGGCGGCCGGGGCCTCTCCTGGGGCGCGCACGCTACCTCGGCTCTCCAGTTTGCGATCCGTTCAGAGGAGCCGGCCGCTCCTGCGAAACTCGCGGGAAGTGGAAAGCAACCGTGGCCGATGATCGCGATGCGCCCGGACAGCCCTGACTCTGTGCAACTTGAGGTTTCATAGCTTTCTGGCTGGCACCCACAGTGCTGGGTAGGCGCCGTTGGTGTATCCTGCCGCACAGAGAAACAGCCAGGTAGAGCAGTCTATGCAGTCCTTGCAGTGGGGAACCAGTGAGTCCTGAGCTGGGGGATTTGTTTGCGCAAATTCGAACTTACCGAGAAGCCTCTTCTATCCCTGAGACTGGAGGCAGGCTTGTTCCTGCGCCCCCGGCAGGGCGCCCGGCAGGACTCCTGGGCCCCAGACCTCTGGTCTGGGCCGTGTGGACTCCTTCCTCCTCAGACACTGGCCTTTGCTCCCCAGTTCCCCACCCTGGAGGCGGAAAATCAATCCGCACCGGCTGCAGCGGGGATTTCGCGGGTCCCAGTGAAAGGGGGATCAATTAGGAGCAGATGGGTGTGTGTGTGCGTGAGAGAGAGACATTCCCCATCTCCAGTCACAAATCCACAACTATCCTTATTACACAATCATCTCCCCCAACACACACACACACACACACCCCTCAACCCTTCGCCCTTAGGTATATAATGATTCCCACACACTCCTAGGCAACCTTATCCTCCACGCGCAGAGCGGCTTCCTGGGACCACACTCCTGCACACACACGCACACACGCACACACCGTACCCTCCCGCACATCTGGCCCACAAACTTGGTTCCACACACGCCAAGAGTTCCTCGCTAGCTCAGGCCTCAGGGGGGAGCAGGAGAGAGTCTGGGCGAAGTCACGGCGCCGGGCAGGGTGGACCTGGGGCCGGAGGAAGGAATCGGAGTTTCCTCTTTTTCTGAATGAAGGCGAGGAATCTGCCCGGGATTCCGCATATTGGCCACAAAGGAAGCCAGTGCCCCAAGAGTTTGCTACCCAGCCCCTCCCTACATTCCTGCCGCTGGTGAGGAGGTGAGGAACTGGTTTCAAAGCTCTGGAAACCTTGTTAAAAGAGGGAGCAGGGCCTTGCTGGGTTGGGGAGGGCATCGGTATCCCCAAGGCTCACCAGGGCTTCAACCTAGGGCTGCGGAGCCGAGCAGGCAAGCCCCTGTAGGGGTGGGGGAGGAAAAGAGAAAAAAAGTAACAGACAAAGAGAAACTGAAACACAAGGGCGGGGGGAGATAGACACCCCACCCCAGGGAGAAAAGGAAAAAACTAGGCAGCCTGAAGTACACCTTTGTATATTTAAGGGAAGCAATGGGTCGTTAAAACTTCCGTTTTCGTTTCAAACAAATCCCCTTTATTCTGAGAAAAGTAGATCCGGGTAAGAAAAAATGAGGGATAGACACACAAAGCCTAAAGGGAGAGAAACATTTAAGCAATTTGAAATGTGAGGGAGCAGGGGCAGATGAGAGGCAGAAAGATGCAGAGCCACGAGGCAGAGGGGCGGCGGAAGGAGGCTGGCGGCCGCCGCTGGGAGAGGCCCTCGCCGGCTTCGCGCGGCTTCATCGATCGCCTACAAATTGCTTCTGGAGGCCCCGGGGACTCCCATTAGGTCTGTCCACCTTAGAGACAGACGTTTGATCTCAGTTGACGGGGTGGAGGGGCGGCATTAAATGGAGTAAGTGAGTCATCGCCTCCCCAATGCCTCGGAGGAAACCGCCTGGTCCAGCGGGAGGCCAGGCCCGGCAGGGCGCAGCGCAGGGGCGCGGAGGCCGGGGAGAGGTTCGCAGGCGGCGGAGGCCAGAGACGTTCGGGAGGGCAGCTGGCTTGTACCCACCCTGGCCTCTGCCCTGGACTGCTCGGGAGGTGAGGTCCCTTCGGTCCGGGCCGCGCGGGTTCTCAGACTGAGGCAAGGCAGATGCCATCGTGCCCCCGGTTGTGCCCCTGGTTGTGCCCTCTGAGGCTGGTAGGGTGTGAGCACTGTGTGTAGCAAACTTTCCCACAGCTCTCCCACGCTATTGCCGCTGCATCTACTTTGGGGGCTTTCAGTCTTCGTCAGAGTCTGGACCCCCCAAATAAGGGAATGCGTTAAAAGGGTCCACGTGAATTTGGGGGCTGCGCAGGGGAGCAGTGCTCGCTCAGACGACCTCGCCAGAGCGCGCCGAGGTGGGTAACGGCTTGTCCCCGTGCAGGCGGCAGACCGCGGAGGAGCGTGAGGCCGAGAGGCAGCAGGCGAACCGCATCCTCCTGCAGCTGCAGCAGGAGGCCTTTCAGAAGAGCCTGGCGCAGCCGCTGCCCGCCGACCCGCTTTGCGTGCACAACTCGTCGCTCTTCGCCCTGCAGAACTTGCAGCCGTGGTCTGACGACTCCACCAAGATCACCAGCGTCACGTCGGTGGCGTCGGCCTGCGAGTGAGCCTGGCTACTTCGCCCGTGAGCCCCCCGCGGCCCAGGCTGGGGGTCGGAGAGAGCCAGAGTCTCTCCAGCTCCTCCCCGCCTCAGACTGCCTGCCTGGGGGGAGACCCGGCCCCTCTGCACCAGCGCGCGCTGGCGCCCACACTGCTCACTCTTCGTGGAAAGGAAGAAAAGAGCGTGGGACAGAGACAGGCGACCTCTTCCCAACGCCTATGGGATTCCCAGCCCTCTGGAACTGTTCAGTCTCCTCAATTTGCATCTATTTTATTTTTTTCCTGATTTTTAACCAGGGACCCAGAGAGGCCAGGGAGATGTGGGGAGAGTTTCTGGGGTCAGAAGAGGATAGTACAGGCTGTCATTTGAATGTGCCCTGGGGAGACCCCCTCCCTGTAGCCCATTCATCACACAAGACTACCCACTGGCCCACACAGGTGATTTCACTGTCCCTCCTGGGGTAATCTCAGAGGCACACACAGGGGGCCTATGAAGAAGGTCGTGCACACGCAGGGCCTCCCCTTTTCACTCTGGACTCTCACTATGAGGCTTAGACTTGGGATGGCCCAGACTCATTTTGAATAGCATGACACTTCTCAGAAACACAAGGCCACGGCCACACTGTGACTCACCATCCTACACACAGCTGGGTCACCTGACCTTGCCAGGCCCTTATCACACCTTCCAGCTGAACCCAGCTATGCACAGAGGGATTTTCACACAAATTCAGCCCATTTCTCCAGATCCTGTTCATAAAGGGGATTTAAGTTATGCACTTATAAGGTGTTTTCTGTGTAACCATTTTATAAAGTGCTTGTGTAATTTATGTGGAAAAAAATAAAATCCTCAAGATTCGGAGTCAGGGCTGCCTGCTCCTTGCTGAGCCTGCACCTTGCAGCTCCTGGGCTTGGTGTGAGCTGGCACTGTCAGGGCAGTTAGTTGCTGGTGTCTAAACTGGAGGGACATCTGGGGATCAGGACCTGTGGGCTCTGGAGAGAGAAAAGGAAAGGAACAGGTAGAGAGAACGCAGACTTGAGAAAAGAGGGAGAGCCGGGCCAGCCAGTGTTGAGGAGGGTGTGGATGTCTTTGGGTGTGAGAGCTGTGTGTGCATGTTGTATATTTGTGATGGCGTGTGCAGTCAGGATGTTACTGATAATGAATGTTTGTAATAGCATCTAAATGTGTTATTGGATTTGTAATTATTGTGTGTTTCTGCTTACGTTGCAAATCGAAACTGTCACTGTGCACAGACCAGTAGGGAGTGGTGTATGTGTAAGCATGTGTGAATGTGACTTTTTCCCCTGGGTAATTGTGTGATCATCCACCCTTATATGTGATTGTGTATGAGCCGTGTGGTAAGTTTGTGAGAGTACATATCAGTTTTTCTTTGTGAATCTATTTTTTGGTGCTAAACATGTACATGTTTGTGATTGTGTGTACCCTGTAATTGTAGGAATATAATTGTGTGTGAAATGTAATAATGTGTGAGATGTGTATTTTAACTGTATGGCATGTATGTGACTGTGTATGATTGGAGGAGTGAATAGAGTTAGAGTAGGGAGTGAGGATCATTATGAGTGACTGTACCTGTGGGTATGTGTGGGCAGAATTGTTTGCTGGTAGGTACATGGTAGTGAGGGTCTAAGGTGCGGTGTACCCATCCATGTGGGAATACCAACTGCTAGGAGTTCTTGGATTCTAGGCACTTACCCAACAAACTACAGGAAATGGGGTACACTGAGTGAATAATTGGGCTAAGATCCTCTGTGTTGTTCTAAGCACCCCCCCCCAACATTAGCCTGGTCTAGGCAGGATCTAGATACATAACTTCCCAGAAATCTTCAGGGAATCCCCAGACCACAGCGCACACACACACACACACACACACACACACACACACACGGAGCCCACATATCTATATCATCCAGTCACTGATTTAGGGGGCCTGAGATGATTTTGTGCAATCTCAGATGTATAAAACTGGCTTGAGTCTGCTTTTCTGGAAGAAGCTAGGTAGCAGAGATTCCAAGGAACTTGCCATTCTGCATTCTGGGTGAGTGGAGTGGTTCTTTCTTTGGGATGGGACAGTTAGAGGACATTGTGGTTAGAAAATGAAAGTGAGTGAAGTGTGGAGCTTGCTTGTGCCTGCAGAGGTGTGTGTACCCCAGTTGGGGTGGGGGGAGGAAACAAAACCATCAATACTTCTGTCCTTCATCCCTAGCCAGGCCACCATTCTGGAGTTTCTAGTTGATCTGGGGACAAAGAGCAGAGCAATCTCCCAGTCGAGGAGGCCCAGGGGGAAATCTGGCTAGGTGGGAAGTGGGCCTGTTCATCACCCCACCCCCGGAGCCCATCTTTTCTGGGCCCGAAGGCCTTCTGCAGTAACCCTACTCTACTCCCAAGCCCATTGGATGACCAAAAAAGACCCTGACTGTCTGTATGTTGGTCATGGGCAGAAGGTTCTGGCTGTCTTTCCTGCCTGCACTGGCTGTAGTGCCTAGTTCCTGGCCAA